GATTTTTTATCTTGTTTGTTAGTTTGTTCAATTTGATAAGAGTTTCTCTGCAGGTTTATCAAAAAAAGCTGATAATTGTTCTCTGCAGATCTCTTCCTTTTATTCCTTTGAAGTAGTAGTAAAGTGAGTGTGTTAAGTCTGAGGGTGGGTCATTTTGACAATATATGTTTCCTCATTCAGGTTCTATCGGTTGTTGGGCTTCTACAAGATGACGTTGATCCAATGGTGTCTGTCATGAAGGTTGAGAAAGCTCCCTTGGAATCATATGCTGACATTGGTGGATTAGATGCCCAGATTCAGGAGATTAAAGAAGCGGTTGAGCTTCCTTTGACTCACCCTGAATTATATGAAGACATTGGTATTAAACCTCCTAAAGGGGTCATTCTGTATGGAGAGCCTGGCACAGGCAAAACCTTGCTTGCGAAGGTTTGTGAAATTTCTTTTTGTGTTTGCTGAGTTTAGAGATTTGGTTGAGCTTCCATTTTCACTTCCCTAGTTGGAATTAACAAGTCTTATAATGTAAGTGGAATTCTTGAAATTTGAAGTATATCTACTTCTTACAAGACTACCTGTGACTTGATGAGGGAAATGTGTAGCGAAGTTCGAATTTAGCAAGGTGGTTGTGGCACTTCACTATTTTGACTTTCGAGTGAAATAGATTCTGATACATTTCAATGTACATGTGCAAACAGTTGTACTCAACTAGTTATTAGGTGTTTTCTTATCTACTTCTGGAATCGAATGTCTCTCTAGTGCAAACAGTTGGAATCAACTTGTTATTGACCCTTTTTCCGTTACTTTTAGAATATGATGTTTCTCTAGCCCATAATATGAAAATACTCAAGCACTTTATTTAACCTTTTTGTTCAGGCAGTTGCAAACTCCACTTCAGCCACTTTCTTACGTGTTGTTGGAAGTGAATTGATCCAGAAGTATTTGGGCGATGGGCCTAAATTGGTCAGGGAACTCTTCAGAGTTGCTGATGATCTCTCACCTTCAATTGTCTTTATTGATGAAATTGATGCAGTCGGTACAAAAAGGTCTATTTCTGGCATCTGTTCTTGAGGTTGGAATTCGTGATGTGTGCTAATTAATGTGTTTGTTTTCAGGTATGATGCACACTCAGGTGGTGAAAGAGAGATTCAGAGGACTATGTTGGAACTGCTGAACCAGTTAGATGGCTTTGATTCCAGAGGAGATGTTAAGGTGATTCTTGCAACAAATAAAATTGAGAGCCTGGATCCCGCCCTTCTTCGGCCTGGTAGGATAGACAGGAAAATTGAGTTCCCTCTTCCAGATATTAAAACAAGGAGGCGCATTTTCCAGGTTTGTGCATTACAGTATTATTGTTTTGTAACCTTTTGACTTATAGAAAAGATTACTATTATTGGGAAACATACTTTGTGTGATGCTTCCTGGATTACATACCGTTTCGTGAAACATTTGTATGTGGTATGCAGATACACACAGCAAGGATGACTTTGGCTGATGATGTCAACTTGGAAGAATTTGTTATGACCAAGGATGAGTTTTCGGGAGCTGATATCAAGGCAATATGTACTGAAGCTGGATTACTCGCTTTAAGAGAGCGGCGTATGAAGGTGAGACGTAAAATGGGTAATCAGTTCAATTTATATTTCATGATAGGTAGGCATGCTCTAATATATGTCTAAAAAGCACCCCCCTCCGGGGGGTAGGGGATGGGTTGCATGTTTGATTCAATTTCAGATAACTTCTTTCTTTTGTTGGTATGACATGTCTATTTCGAGGTTTATTCATCATAGGCACGCAGTTCTGGGTTAGCAAATCCCACTTGAAATGAAATGCTCTTACTTTATTATTATTTTAAGCTTTGTGGAGTGGTGAGATGGAGTTTGATCTTATTTGCTCCTGAATAAGTGCATCCTCCGTCTTGTTATATGGTGTTATGTGCCCGAATATGTGCATTGTCCATCTTATTGTACTCATGCAGTTGGAAGAGTTGTGAAGATGGTCTGGAAAGACGAGGTTTATTGGTCAAGGAAATATAGACTGTAGATTGTAATTGATTCTTTAACATGTTCAGGATGTTGAAAAATGGAAGATATATTTGAGTTTCTTTTGGTATGTTGTAAATTGGACCATTAATTTTCTTTAGCATATTGATGTTATACTTCGTCAGCTTTGTGCTCTGCATATAAAATCCTTAACCTTAAAAACAAATCTTTGGCATATTGAAAGTTTAGTCTGGAAAAGTAAAAAGATTATGAGGAGAAGGGAAGATCAAATATCTAATTATAGTTGAATTGTGGTACTGTTCTTTACCAAGGCATAATATATTCAAAAATACATTTTAAATTTCCTGATCCTACTCCTGTTCTGTGGTCTGTGGTGGTCGCCAAAAATATCTGTTGTCTTTTCTCTGAAACTTTGGGGTTGATAGTTTACCTGGCGCTGTAGATTGTTGACACAAATGTATTCTATTTCTACAGGTTACTCATCCAGATTTCAAGAAGGCCAAAGACAAGGTCATGTTCAAGAAGAAAGAGGGAGTGCCAGAAGGACTTTACATGTAATCATAGTGTTTTACGTCTGTTCATCTTGTTCATGACTTTGATTACTCTGTTTTCAGTTAAACACTTTAGTTCTCTTTACCTATGTTGCCTTCTGATCTTCTGGCAAAAAACAAAATATTTCATTGAGAACATCTGGTTGGTTATGTCAGCCTCAATTTGCGCTTCATCCGTTTCAACATTAAATTATTGTGCTTTTCATCAGCCATTTTCATTGGGTGCTGAATCTGTTTTCGGTATCTAATTGGTTCCGAGTGCTTATAAAATAAGATAGCGTTCTGAACATTCCGAGGGGTATAAGCCAGTGCGCTTGACCATTCCGAGGGCAAAAGATACGTCGATTTGGAAATTGGAAGTGCTATTCTTCAGTACTTCCATCTGTTTTTAGAGTTGTCATAATTTTTATTTTGGGTACTTGCAATGTTGAGGGCAAAAGATAGATACGTACATTGCGAAGTGCGTCAAGGTTCCTTGTTGAGTTGTCTCACAAGATTTGCTATACACAGTTCGACGACCAAAAAGAGATCGGAAAGGGCACTTAATATGTGTACCTTACTCTTATCCTGGGGTAGAGAAGAGGCTGTTTCCAATAGACCCTCGGTTCCCTCCCTCCAAAGATTCCCACTTTGTTCTTGGGGTGACTCGAACTCACAACCTCGTGGAGGGTGCTCACCACTAGAGCAATCCACTCTTGTCAAAGGTCCTAAAACATTAAGCTAAAATTTAAACAGAGTCACTAATGATATTAGTGGAAGTTTTTCACACAGCAGGTGTGGATTCGATTTCCATTCCCATTCCCATTCCCGTTTTCCTACCTGAATCCCCAATGTAATGCAAGATTCTATAGAAAAAAATTCAATACCGGTATTAATTAGTTTTCCAAGTAATTTCTCCATGCTGTATCTTACAGAGATTGTAATATGCAATGCACACGTTAAAGGAAGCCAATTAAGGCTGGGAAATTATTGACTATCTAATCTAATTTAGATTTTCTAATCAATAAGATGATAAAAGTGTATTGTTAAAATTTTGGTTTATTTTTTGATACCTCGTATATAGGGCCTTTTTGTCTTTTGCTTAACTTTCTTCTGTATAGAAACTGGCCAGAAAAACTTTAAAAAATGGCACCTCTTCGACAATATATATTCTATGCAGAAATGCATATGTCGATTAAGATTTGACTAGCATTGGACCTAAAATATACATTGAAAAAGGAATAGTGTGAATGTTGCAACCCCTTCATTATGTTACTATAATAACCTAAATTGGCCAACGAAGATCTGATTCAGCTCCTTTTATATAGAATGTATTTTATCATTGCAAGTAAAAAATAAAATTACCATAGGAGGTCTGTTCAGTTGATTTTCATACTATGAACATAATCTAACATAATATACAGTGTTAAAAGTATTCCAAAAAAGGACCAATTTTTTTGTATAAATAGACATTCCAAGACATACATGTTTGTACACAGAACGAGACAGACAGACAATACAGTAAAATGGCAAAGGGAAAGGTGAATGCTATTAACACATCTATTTTACTAATTGGATTTTTTTGTTTGGCTATTCTTTTGATTTCAAGTGAAGCAGCAGATGTGGTCTTTATAGGACAATGTTCTCAATTTCCAGATTGTAATGCAGCTTGTATTAAGGAAGGATATCAGAATGGCGTTTGTACTAAGATTGGTGCTGGGATTTTGGGTTGTTATTGTGCTGATCCTTAGTCAAATTACTTTTTAATTACTGCTATTTTATTGGTTCATGAATAATTTGTATTCTCCACAGTTTTTGGGCTGTTCCAAAATTCATATATTCAGTATGATCAATTAATATATACAAAGTCCTCTATATATATCCAATGAGTTCAATCTGTCAATTAATCCTTATCTTCTATGATTAATCCTTATTATGAACGTGGACTATTTCTCCTTTATATATATTTGAAATGCTAAAACAAGCAAAATGAATTTTGACAGAATAAATACCAAAAAACGAAAGATAAAGAATGGGGAATATCGAAAAAAACTTACTCACTTATATAGGAGTATGCATTTTACCACTAAGTATGGTTATTTAAAGTATATCTTACTATCTCATCAATTTTCACCTAACAATGATAAATTATTATTTGGTGTAAGTATCGGGTATGAGTAATAACCCGAAAAGAAGAAAGAGATTTGTCAACAGAAAAAAATTGTTCTAAATACTCGATTTATTTATGGTACTATTTATTTGGTTTCTTTTTCCAAAGAAGGGAAAAGAAAAAAGAAAAAAGAAGAAGACGAGAGGCATTAAAGTAGACAGTGATCCGTGTATTGCTCTTGTAAGTTCCTAACAATGGTTAGCTTAAAGGAATTTTTGTCAGCCATGAAAACAGAGAAAATATTGGCAATTTTTCCCTATTTATAACTCTACTAGAAAGTAGACTAGAAAAAGAACAGAAAAACCAAATCAATTTCAAGAAACAAACTCAAAAAATTCAATTAGAGAGATATGGCAAGCATGACGTCTGCTCTTAGTAGAGTTTTTGTTAGTGGAGCATTCAGACCTTTCCAGGTGCTTATTGTCTTCTTTTTTTTTGGGTTTTACGAATATAACTTGAATTTATGATCTATCTATTAGATGTAAATCCATATTAAAGTTTTTGAGAAGGTTGGAATTCGTTACAATCCTTCTCGTGATCATTGTTATTTAGTGCCATACGCGAGATTTTGTGCAAGCAATATCGAATTATTATTAAATTATAACTTGGTCCGAGCGTAAGTTTGCGGAGGTTCTAAAGCTTGTATTCGTGTTCCAAATATATATATATATAGCCGAAGTGATATCGATTGTGTAAAAGGTGGCCTTATTTTTAGGCTTTTTTATTTGTGAGCCTTGTTGGCACATTTGGAGCCTTTTATTTAAGGTCTTGTTGGCCAAATAAATGACCTTGTATTTTGAGAGGATGTTGCCAATTGTTGGCCAAGCATTTCTTTCTTCTCTTCCTATATAATGAGGACTCTCTACTCATTTGGAAACACACCAACAAGACTTGAGTATTCATTTCTTGTTTCTTCCTTTCTTCCTTTATTAAGAGTGTTTTGTATGAGAGTTAGTGTTGGGAAGCACTTGTGTGAACCCTTTCTTTGGAGTGATCTTGTGAGGTTATTCCCTTAGGGTATTTGGGATTAATTAGAGTATTTACTCTAATTTTGTACTCTCTTTTGACTCTTATTGTTATAGTAAATTGCCCTTCTCCGCTTGTGGACGTATGTCACTTTGACCGAACCACGTTAAATTTGTATCTTTTTTATCTACTTTAATTGTCGTTGTTATCAACTTCCATTGTCTTTGTTATTGCCATTATACAGTTGTTTGGCTATATACCGCACTACCCGGGTTCCTGATCCTAACAAATTGGTATCAGAGCCGGATCTAACCGGGTTAGTTTCAATAGCCAAAATGACTCTAACAAAGACCTATGTTGAGAAATTTGACCGAAGTGCAAACTTCGGAATGTGGCAATTAAAGATGGAAGCTATCCTAATTCAGGATGGCTTAGACTTGGCGTTACAAGGAAAGGAGAAGAAGCCGGATAAAATGACGGATGANCCGTGTTACTGCTTTGTTCTCTACCCCCATCTTTTAAGCATATAAGAGATACTATGCTTTATGCAAAGGATAATATCTCTTATAAGGATATTAAATCTATCTTAAAATCAAAAGAACAGATAGATAGTGATATTACTGGGGAAGCTAGTGGAACTCAAGCGGAAGTTGGCTTGTTTGTTAGGGACAAATCCGACTTCATATCCAGATACAATAATTTACAGTGTCATTATTGTCATAAGAAAGGTCGCAATATCTCAGAATGCTATAAACTGAAAAATAAAGAAAAGTATAAAGAAAGAAAAAATGAGCACAAAAATACTGACACCGTCGAAGCTAGTGTAGCAACTGATGAGATTGAGGGAACTATATTTTTAGCAACTGAAACTAGTTTCAGATTAGACAATGAGTGGATTTTAGATTTCGGTTGTTCATATCATATATGTCCTAGCAGGGACTTGTTTTCTACATATGATTCAGTTGCAGGTGGAGTTGTCCAACTGGGTAACAATGTTACTTGCAACGTTATTGGCAAAGGTACAATTCGGTTCAGAATGCACGATGATATGGTGAGAACTCTACTGATGTTAGATATGTTCCTGAGTTGAAGAAAAATCTCATATCTTTGGGCACTTTAGAATCCCTAGGTTTCAAATTCACTAGTGAAGGTGGAGTTTTAAAAGTTTTTCAAGATGCTCTTGTGATCATGAAAGCACACAGATCTGGTTCGTTGTATACTTTATTGGGCTTCACTGTTATAGGCCCTACTGCAGTTTCGGTATCAGACAACTTGTCTGATTTTGATGGCATTAAATTTTGACATATGCCCATTGGGGTTTTTGCGGAGAAGGTGAAGCAAATTTACTATATCAGTCAAAATTATGCCAAGGTGGAGATTTATAAAAGGTGGCCTTATTTTTAGGCTTTTTTATTTGTGAGCCTTGTTGGCACATTTGGAGCCTTTTATTTAAGGCCTTGTTGGCCAAATAAATGGCCTTGTATTTTGAGAGAATGTGGCTAATTGTTAGCCAAGCATTTCTTTCTTCTCTTCCTATATAATGAGGACTCTCTGCTCATTTGGAAACACACCAATAAGACTTGAGTTTTCATTTCTTGTTTCTTCCTTTCTTCCTTTATTAAGAGTGTTTTGTATGAGAGTTAGTGTTGGGAAGCACTTGTGTGAACCCTTTCTTTGGAGTGATCTTGTGAGGTTATTCCCTTAGGGTATTTGGGATTAATTAGAGTATTTACTCTAATTTTGTACTCTCTTTTGTACTCTTATTGTTATAGTAAATTATCTTTCTCCGCTTGTGGACGTAGGTCACTTTGACCGAACCACGTTAAATTTGTGTCTTCTTTATCTACTTTAATTGTCGTTGTTATCAACTTCCATTGTCTTTGTTATTGCCATTATACCGTTGTTAGGCTATATTCCGCACTACCCAGGTTCTCGATCCTAACAGATTGGATGACACTCTTGTACAAAGGTATCTCTGCCACATTATTGGTTGCTTCCACGATTTGAATCGGTGACTTATAAGCAGTAGCGGACCCGAAATTTTATGCAAGCGGGTTCAATCTTAGAAGTACATAACTTTAGTCGTAAAATAGTAGTTGTCAAGTGAGTTCAAATAAAATATTTATACAAAATTTACGCAGTTTTAATCCTAATTTATACATATACACAGTATTATTTTTTGATGAAGCGGCTTCAGTTGAACCCGCTTGCCACCACGTGCGCCCACCACTGCTTATAAATCACACGGAGATAACTTTACCGGCTCTGCCACGTTGCTATTAATAATTCATATCGCCATTAATAAGGTATTTCTTTTGTTTAAGCATTAATTAATGTGTAATACATGAATTTGTGCAGCGGACAACTAATCGTCACCTAGCAACGGCATTTAAAGATGAGGCTCAAAACTCAGTACGAAAGGGTGCAGACGCAATGAAGCAAGGGGCTGATGCCGCCAAGAGAGCCAGTCAAGAAGTTAAAAACGAGACTGCCTCGGCTGCTGACGAGGTAAGTTAAATTTATTTGCATGCAATGACTGACCCAAAATTTTATATAAGCGAATTTAGTAAATAAAGATATTAATTGATAATTGGAATATTACACGGCACAACAAGAGAGATTTATGCAACACTTTTTTTTCTTTTTGTTTTATAATGCTACCACAAAATGAAAATTTTATAAAAGTTGAGGTTGATACCTTTTTAAAAAAAAAAATGTTGGGCAAACAATTTAAAAAATTTAAAACATTAATTTACTTTAACTCAAAATATTTAAATTTGATCTATTTAATCAAATAATTTTACCTCAGAGAATTTAAAGATTTGTTAAAATTAAATAAAGTATCGGAGAGAATTTACCTAAAATCTTATTTTGATAAAGTTGTATTTAAAAAAAAAAAGAAAGACAACAAGAAAAACAAATACATATAAACTAATAGAAACTAAGTATAATATAAGAGGACTTATAAAATAAACTAACAATTATCGTGTAACACAGTAAATAATTTAGCATAAACTAATTTAAGATTAACTAACAAAAAAATAATATCAGTTGTTTCAATTACATATTTTATCAAAATTTATGTAAGAACTTTCTAGATAATTTTGGTTTCTTGAAGTAATTAAATAGATGATATAATATAATTCTTACTATTTGATTTGAGTGAAAATATCAAATTTAAACTAAAATAGAAAACAAAGATTAGAAAAAGAAACACATTGAAGTAGGAGGGAAATAAACTAACGGACCTTTCTCAGCCAATTAATCAATCAATATTTGTTATCAACCAAAACTCTTTATAACATACTTGTTTGTTTCCATATATAGTCTTTTAACTACTATTATAAAGTGCTATTATAGAAAATATATATAATGATATAACATAAAAAATTGATTCCAAAAATAACTTGACTGTTACAGTAAAATATTGATATAAAGGATGTCTGTTATAAAAAGGTATAACTGTATCTAGTCACCTTTAATGCCATTTCTAATGATAAGATTATATAACATGTTATACTATAAGTATTACTTATCGTTTATAAATTATTTCAAGTTATCAATTAATACTTATTTTCGATGTGTGTATGAAAGGCAATAAGCAGGACGAAAGCAATGGGAGATAAGGTGGCAGACACAGCACAAGACGTGGCTGGAAAAGCAAAACACACAGCTCAACAAACATGGGATTCAGTTAAGGAAACCACACAAAAAATGAAAGATACAGTGAAGGGAAATGCTGAAGAATCCACAGAGATTATAAAGGAAAATGTTAATAAGAGCATGAACACCAAAAACTGAGTTAAACTCTCACTTTTCAATACACAGAGAGACATTATCTCTTTCTAATATTTTCTTCCTTTTTCTGATGTTTGAAAAAATTAAGATTTGTTTTTTCTTTAATTTTCAGTTAGCTGAAACCGTAGACAGATCAGAGTTTGCGAGTTTGATGTATTCGTGTAGTTGGAGATATATGACTCCTCTATGTTTGTTTCCTTGAGTATATGGTAAATATAGATTGATTAATTATTGCATTCTGATTCTTTTTTGTATGACTTCTTTTTCTTTTTAACCTATTAGAAAAGAATAACGATATATATATATATATATT